ACTAAGTAACTTAATCCATCTCAATTTAGTGTTTTAATAAATAAGACACCGGAAATTAATGGAAATGGGTCTCAGACATGTCTACAAATATGGGTACTATTTTTAAGCCCGTGTATTTTCACATTTAATAAAAATATTTATGGTCAAATGAGTACTTTTGGCCTTCAGTCTTTTGGAGGAGTCTATTTTCCAATTTTGCTTTACACATAGTCAACAACTGAGATGACAAAGGGCTCTGGCTTGTCATGAGCTGAAGGAAGAGCTCAAAAAGTGAAATGATTAAAATCTAGGACAGCGAGGCCTTACTGAGTGGCCGGTCCTTCACTTTCAGTACCATTAAAATCTCACACTTAGGCTGACTTTGAGGACCTTCCCTTTTATACCATAATGTGTACATTTCTGTTAAAGTTCTGAAAGGGGTTGGGGTGGACACTGCTGCTTATCTCAAATTTCTAGCTGCAAACAAACGTAGCTTTCTTCTTCATATATACCACCTGTTGCAAAAGTAGCTGATCCCCTCCCCCTCCTGCCTTCACACCCAAAGCAGGGTTTCGTGATCTGTAAAGAAAAAAAGTCACTTTAATCTTAAGATATATAGGTCACACCCTAGAAACCTGCAAACCTCTATCCACCAAGTCGATCCTTTCTTGGAATCAAGAGATCAACAGAAGCAAGAGATGCACATTCATCTGTTACTACCTTATCCTAGGATTCAGTTTCTAATGAGGAGGCATCCAGGGCTTCCCTGGTGGCTCAATGGTAAAGAATCCACCTACCAATGCAGGAGATATGGGTTCGATCCCTGGTCAGGGAAGATTCCACAGCAAGGAGCAACTGAGTCCGTGTGCCACAACCACTGAGCCCGTGTGCTGCAACCACGGGAGCCCTGCGCCCTAGGACCTGTGCCCTGCAACCAGAGAGGCCACCACGCACCGCAGCTGGAGAGGAGCCCCTGCTCGCCACAGCGAGAGAAAAAGCCTGTGCGGCAGTGAAGACCCAGCACAGCCACAAACGAAAAACAAGGCATCCGGCTGACAACTGGGTTGCGGTCTTGTTCAGAACACGTTTCCAACCTTCACTAGGGTCTGTCTACTGGGAGAAGTGCCTCCTCTGATTTAGCTGTCTCCAGGGACCGAGCTGCCAGATTTGGAAGGCCACTGGCAAAGCAAGTTTCAAGGTCTTCTTAAGGAAGCTGGAGCTATATGTTGTTAAAAAGCACGAGTGAGAACACTGCTTGCAGCATTTCTTAGGGGATTTAAGTTTGTGTTCTTTGCATGCTTCCCTGCTATTATAGGAGATTTCTATAAGCACAGTGCCTCATTTGTATGTATGTATGTATCTATATGAAGGATTTTTTTTAAAAGACTGGTCTTCCTAAATGGATGTGATTTTTCTCTATGTTGTGAAAGATTCTTTAAAGATAGCAAAGGATAACTCTTCTAACAATCTTTCATCATTATTACAGTTTTCTTAAGGTTTTATTAATACTCCTCCATATATACCACTGGTTGCAATGTTTTACTTCCTGCAGTGTTTATGCTTTTGTTACTTCAGGTTACAAATACCTCATAAAAGTGGAAAGACTTCATTCCACAACTGTACAGTTTAGGACAAACAAACTAGCTTCTCTTCTTCCTGGTGGGTCCACATGCAGGGAGCGCCTGTACCATATGGTCTTAGGCTGGGGAAGTTTGTTTTGGACATCGTGCAATGAAGAAAAATGGTATCTTCAGATCCCATATAAGTCTACCTGTTCTTATCCAAGAGCTCTTCCCTGATATAGTAAGGACAGATGTTATGAATAAACGTAATATTAGGAAACATGCAGGCATAAAAAATACCCCCTGAGAGATTCTGGACTAACGCTGATGAGTGTGACAGCTCTTCACTGCACGTCAGGAAAAAGTCAGCAAGGCTCTCCACGTGCTTTACAAACCCCTGTGTGACCTTGTGCGCCAGGCTGCAGCCCTCACCCCCTCCTCCTCCTCAAAGGAACAAACCTACCTCCGTGCTGGTCTCTGCCTGGCTCGCGCTTCCTCCTACTGCACGTTGCATCCTAAATGTCACTTCTTCAGGCCTTCTGACGCTTTCTCTTCCCAGCATTTTCATTTGAATATTTACTTACACTTACACTCGTAACTTCAAAAGGACATGTCAACTGTCACACAACAGGTCATTAAAAATTTGCTGGGTTTGTGCAGGTTAGGAAGACCTAGATTACTGGCCTTGGGACAAAACTGGAAACCGTTTTCTGGTGGAAGCAGACCATGGGAAAACAAAGGAAAATCTACACGCCAGTGGTGGGTTTGTTGACTTTTGTATAAAAGGGAGTTTGAGCACGATGCTCTGAGGTTAGACACTCCACTGTACGGTCAGTTATGTTTACTTCACAATTCATCCTACTCAAGACGCATCAAGGTTACTCCTCTAACTCTGCCCCCAATTTTAAATTGAACATTAGGTTACCTAGGGCCGTCTCCATTCAAACATTTTGGTTTTTTATGTCTTTTAGAATTTAAGGACGAAAAGTTATCCAGATTTGAATCAAAACCTTTGATTTTAAAGTGAAACCACACGTTACAACTACTGAAGCCCATGCTCCCTAGAGCCTGTCCTCCCCAAGAGAGGCCCACGCAAGGAGAAGCCCAAGCACACAGAGAATAGCCCCCACTTGCCGCAACTAGAGAAAGCCGGCACACAGCATCAAAGACCCAGCACAGCCAAAAATAAACTTTTTAAAAAAGTGAAATCACATCAGACAGGATGCAAACCTTACACAGTTGGGCAGGATCACATGACTGAAGTAAATAACTTAAATGCAAATAATGATGAACTGTAGGGGACAAAATTATTTTCCAAATCTGAAGTCTATAATCAAAGTTGTTAACAGCAGGTTCTAAGTAGAGACCTCACTCAAGAATTTCTCAGAAATTAGAATTTTACATTTGATACTGGGCTAATAAATTGCAAAATGGGGGAAAGCTATCCCATTACTTAACACTTAAAGGCTCATTTTTTGAGTGGCTACAGGGTGGGCTGGGTGCCCCTAACCATGTGCCGCCATCACAAAGTTGCCTGTATTTTGAACGTGGATCAATTGTCCTGGTCCTTTGTGCCTCAACTCCCTAACTCTGCCACCAAGAGTAAGATCTTTTTTTTTTTTTTTTAAAGAGTAAGATCTTAACAAATCAACTGATTCTTTGGAAGAGGGTGGTTGCTGTTTAGTTGCTAACTTGTGTTCAACTCTTCGTGGCCCCACATACTGTAGCCCACCAGGCTCCTCTGTCCGTGGGATTCTCAAGGCAAGAACACTCCAGTGCATTGCCATCTCCTTCTCCAGAGGATCTTCCCAACCCAGAGATTGAACCCAGGTCTCCTGTATTGGCAGGTGGATTTTTCACCGCTGAGCCCCTTGGAAGAGGGTGGGCCCCCTTGCTACTGACAGACTTTGTGGTACACTTACCACTTGCTCTGTGAACCAGGGATCTGAGACAGATGTCAGCCCCTCGATGAACAGCCTGTTCTGTTTGGGGGGAGTTAAATGCTGCTGTCTTCTTCGCTGCTGAATCTCAGAGAAGGAAATTCTCTTAGCCGTGCTTTAGTGACTGAAGACAGTCTGACTTGACATACACCTGTTGCCTTGAACGCTATTCATCTGGGTTTCTGACACCTCTCCTAGGCAGTAGCAGCTGCCTGTCCGGTTGTGTCCCAGGGGCTGGGCCTGGCCCATAGAAGCAACCATTTCTTTGGGCAGCTCCCATTTGTATCAAACTACATATTTATACAGAAAAGTCCAAATTTATCTGTAACTCCAGGCTGATGGCCTATGGTGCTTCCTGGATGTATTCTATTCTGTCCTTCAAGGAGCTACATTGTTCCCTGTATTTGAGCACTCCCTTTCATCACAGAAAAACCCAAACAAGTAACCAGGGACGGGGGTGGTTACTGGAAAAGGGAGCAAGGTCTTGTGATCTCTTATCAGGAAGAAGGAAGCTGCGAGGAGCTGAGCAGTTATCTTCAAATACTCTATGGGCTGTTATCTAATAAAGAGGGGTAGATTTGTTCAGAAGAACTCAGAGGAACATGCATAGACCCATGGTAGACAGCTTCTGGCTCACCATGGAACTCTGCACAGAACCGTCCAAAGACAGAGCAGCCCAGCTCTAGGAGCAGACGTTTCCATGTTGCCCTGGAAGCTTCCAAGATGGCGTGAGGCTCCACCTGGCAGGGCCTTGGAAGGGGGGCTGGCACTGGCTGGAGGCTAAACTCTACTAACTGTTCCCCAAACCTCACTTATCATCAGGGCCATCCAGAACAATCATGATTCCCACACTCACCTCAGCCCCAGTGAATCAGTTTCAGAGGACAGGGCCCACAATGACACTGAGGTCTTCTGCTCCTGTCCCAAGATCCTATGATTCCAGAGTAGCTGGACAGTTTTTTTGAATATTTACATTCCTATTCATCTAATATAAAAGAGAAAAACTGTTTATATTCTTAACTTAGTTTCTATAAAACTAACCAGTTCTTTTTTAAAAAGAATACATACATATCCCATAAGCCCACAAATATAATTTTATAAAAATAAAAATTAGAAACAGTAAAAAATATATAGCATAGGATTAAAACATCATATGGTTTAAGATAAATAAGTGGTTACAGTGTGGCACTACTTTCATTTTAAAACAACAGTTAAGGTACAAATTGGCTTAATTTTTAAAAATACTATTCAGGGATACCTTAAGTACTTCTTTCTCAGAAGAAAAAACAAAATAGGTCTCTCTAATTTAAATGCATCTTTTGAATAAAGAAATATATAAATAAATACAGCTGGAATATTCAAAGATGTAGATGGTTTCATAAATCCCCATGAGGACCAGCTAGTCAGATTGTTCAACCTGGTTATCTGGCAAAATTGTCACTTTTAATGATGAAAACCCAGTGTTTTATGCAATCAGAAAAGAGGAGCCATCTAATTTTAAATACTCAATGGTCATTTCTTACAATATATAACTTAAATTTATTCAATACATTAAATACATGTTACTTTTAAATAATTAATATAATTTAAATCAAAGATGTCACTGATCCTTAATGCAACTTTGACAAGTCTTGGAAGTAGTTCCACATTTCCCCAGCAGGTGGCAGATTTCTTGTCATACTTTCTCCTCTTAGACAAGCCAGTGCTAGAGTTCATCATGTGCCAAAACTGTAGGGGAAGAAAGTATATTTAGCTCTTGAAATCTTAAATATCAAATTATCTTAAGCCTCACTGAGGCATGAATTAATACAAAGTGTATGATCCCCGTTAGTTTAGTACCTACTCGCTTCACGAAGTGATGAGGACGCTCTTTGTACATTATGGTATCTACTGTGCTGTGCTAAGTCGCTCAGTCATGTCCGACTCTTCGTGACCTTGTGGACTGTAGCCCGCCAGGCTCCTCTCTCCATGGGGATTCTCCAGGAAAGAATACTGGAGAGTTGTCATGCCCTCCTCCAGGGGATCTTCCCAACCCAGGGATCAAACCCAGGTCAGCCGCATTGCGGGCTGATTCTTTACCAACTGAGCCGCCAGGGAAGCCCATGGGATCGATCACATGGGAGCATAACTACTTGCCCTTTTACCCACCTACAAATGAGCTCCCATGAGTCTATCAGAACAAGGACAATACTTTATTCATCTTTGTTATCTCCACGACCTAGCACCCTGATGGTGAAAAACAGGTTTCTCACCAAGTACAAAGTATGCTGTCATTAATGTAATGGAACAACAAAGAGCAGAAGACATACATGGTCTTTGTCTAAGATGGGCGGGTAGAACATTCAAATGCAGTAGTAAATATAACTGTGGGAATCAAAGTCAATACCAGTGAAGACTTAAAGAGTTCAAAATGTTTTTTTCTCCTGCATCAATGCACTACACATACTAACTGATTTAAGAACACATGAGAATTCAAAATGATATTTTCCAGGCAGAAATTAAGTAAAACACAATTTAAATGGATCCTGTTTCACAATTTCAGGTGGCAGACTTTCTCTCTTCACTAAATTCCACTGGAATTATGCAATCGATCAATCCTCTATTGTTGGACAGATTCTATATCATTATTAAAGACAATGTTGTGACAAACATATATATACACACACACATTTTTGTTTAAATGTAAGTTTCTGATGAATTGATGGATCAAATGGCATGTATTTGAATTTTTATGTATATTACAAAATTTCCTTAATTTATACAGCTACTGCATGTATGTATATACATGCTTACTTGTCAATACTCTTGCTAGTGCTGGGTATTGTTAATCCTTTAACTCTTTCCAATTTGATAAGAGAAACATTTCATCTCAATGTTTCATGAATTTATATTTTATCGTTAGGTAATTATGTGAGTTTTCTTCTTTCCTTTTTTTAGTTTTTTTTCTTCTCTCCCTCCTTCCTTTGTCTTATCTTTCTCTCCCTTTGAAAATAGTTATGCTACTTACATAATAATCTTTCTCCTGAATTGAAATGGCACCTTTATATTAGATTATTAACACTACTCAGGTGTATTTTAAATGCTGAACTTCTCCGACAACACACATTGATTTTGTTAAGGAAAACAGAGTCAGTATAAAACACAATTTCATGCTTATGTGAGGAAGTTTATGTATAATTTCGGCCTCCCTAAAAAGTAAAGTTGAGGACAATAAGAAGTATATTCTGAACTACTGGAAATAATTATTATGAGGATTAATTAGTCTAACCTGTGAAAGTCTTTAACATACTGACTGGAACACAACAGAAGCTCAACACTGCTTTTGAAAAAGAGCAAAGAACAATAGAGACAGGTACTGACCAGGAAAGGGAATCATGAAGGAATCAAGAAGTTGGTATCAGCTTTAGAAGAATATCCAACACACATTTACTGGTGTTAAGGGTTTATGTAGGGTGATAAAATGCTAAGGTAATTTCAGTTTTTTAAATCTAAGAAATGGAAACTAATTCAAACCACCTTCTGGTCTATGATGAAGGCTGGAACAAGGAACCAGCTTTCTGTGAGGAAGCCTATATACTATGCCTGTCACTAATGCAGGGGACAGAAGGGAATACTTTATTTGGCTGTGTAAGGCTTGTATTAAACTTCAGGGCTTGGATTTTCATATTTAGGAAATTCAGTGTATCTTAAAGAGACTGTTTCTTTTACTTTTTTTTTTTTATCCTCTATCTTAGGTCAGGAGACTAATACTATACTGCTTATCTATGTGATGATATGATGCTATATCCATAGGGAAATAGATTCTCTATCCATGTTTTAAATTTGTGAACTTAAGTCCACATAAAAAGAAAATCTGTAATCATGTCACAGACTTTGGTAAATAAATTCTGATGTAATCATTTGATAACCATTAAGAAATGATTTTGTAATCTATTCTAATTTCACTTAGTGCAACATGTGGTTCATACACAACTGCAGAACAACTCACCTGCACTTTTCTTCTTGTTTTCAAGGTGATCTAACAGTTGCCGTATCTCAGTATCATACTCCACCCATTCTGGGACAATCCTGGCAGCAGCTTTTAGTTTAGGTTCTTTTGTTTTGGGGTTATTGCACTGAAAATTTAAATATTAGAATTAGTTTAATACAGAAAGGATCAACTGAAATGACAAATCGCAGTTTATGTAAGCAGTGTTTAATGCAAACAATCAGAAGTTTAAACAAAAATTTGAAGACTTTCTGATGGTTCATAAAAAGTCTGTCAAACAATTCTATAAAATATTTGGACAAAGGATCCAATTCTATGACCATTCTGTAAAACAGCACAGCAGACTATATTAATAAATATTTTATTGCCCTTTCCTTGGACTAAAACCTGGTTTTACATACTTTTTTTTCCATACGTAAAACTAATTGTCAACCTTTAGAAATGTCTCGAGTTTCTCTGGCAAAAGCACTTGTCCTCTTTCCTATGCCTCTGTTTTGATTAGCAGTTGTGATATTAAAATCAGTTAACTAGAATTCATTTGGCAAAATACTGATAGTTGTGAAATTCAGAGTAGCCTATAAATCTCCATGCCTTAAGAATATTTAAGTAGTCTGTTTAAGAGGCACAGTGGAAAAACAATGGACAGGGATCCTCATTCCTCATGGTTCCAATTCTCACTAGCAGTTAGACTTGGGATAGTCCCACTTAAACTAGTAGTGAGACCTGTAAACATCACCCGACTGTGTGTGTGCTTATGTGGGCACCAGTGGCAGAACCTGTCTTTTCATTTGCAAAGGAGGAAATTAGAATAAGGTTATAGAAACCCATCATTCCTCTAATACTTGATCAATTTTAATAAGCAATTGGTTCTACTATAAAGTTTCTTGGGAAATTAAGTTTAAAAGGCAAAAAGCAAAGGCAGAGTTTAAGGAGGGTCTGACTCTGGATGTATGTGAAGATACAGCTGACAGGACTAGTATTAGTGGGCTGGATGTGGACTGTGAGGAAAGAGAGGCATCAAATATGACCCCAGGGTCTTTGGCTTGAGCAACGTAAAGAGAAGTTACTGGAGGGGCATAAACTTCACAGCTACACAGCATCCAGTCTGCTCTTCACGAAGCACAGTAACAGAGCACGTGTCATGGAGCTGACTTCTACATGGCACTTTCTCATGGTAGCCCCAACCTGCTTCATCCTTCATGCCTTACGGGAAAGCTTATTTATGAGCCATAAGCCTGGTATCTTAATCCTTTCCTCACCAAATATTTCCAGTTCATTCCATTGTGGATTTTTTCCTACAGTAATGTATTTCTGAAGTAAGTGAGTAACAGGAGCTTCTCTGTAGAAATTAACTTCACGGATAATGTCTTCTATAAACAAGATAACAAATTTTCTAATTGTGTCAGAAACAAAAAACAAAGTGCTATTTTTTCCTTAGCTTATGCTACAATCGTTGATTCTTTACCTGCTAAGCCATTGGGAAGCATAATCTCTATCGGTAGGGCTTCAGTAGGGCAATCGTGTTCCACAGGGGAGCTGGGGCCAGGTCTGGAGGGACTCGATTGCTGTAACTGGGGGCTGGGAGGGCGCTATTGCCATCTAGTGGGTAGAGACCAGGGATGCTGCTAAACATCCTATAACGCACGAGTCGGCCCTCACAACAGAGAACTGTGCTCCGAAGGTCAATAATGCTTTTTCCTCTCCATTAGACCATTTCCTGAGTTTCCTTTTTAACCTTTCACTGAAGATGACCAAAACAGCATGTTCTTTTTTATTTTAAATGTTTCTGTGGAAGAGATAATGTTATCCACCAAAATTTATGCCGCCCATCCATTTTCCTACTGTAGACCTACTGTAGGAAGTAGCTGCCCATCCAGGAATGATGATCCTCAGCTCTCTTTATAACTGGATGTGGACACACAACCAACTGCCACCACGGGGCCAAGGCCTTTAGGGTCAGGATGCATCCTCCACCCTCCTTTCTCCTTACCCTCACACTACCCGACAGAAATACGATGGAAGCCACAAATGCAGTTTTACATTTTCTAACAGCCACATTAAATAAATGAAAGAGGAACAGGTGGAATAAATTTTAACACTATATTTCCAAATGTTATCTAGTCAAAATGTAGTCAATATAAAAATCAGTAATGAGGTATTTATTTTTACATTTTTATTGAGTCTTCAAAATCTGATGTGTTTTATACCTTAGAGCACACCTCAATTTAGACTGGCGACATTTTAAGTATTTTATGGCTGCCTGTGGGAAGTGGCTGCCATAGTGGATGGATCAGCTTCAGATGGACATAGATGATGACAGGACCCCGGAGGATGAAGAAGTCCCGGGATGGATGGAAATTGGTCCCTGAGTCATGATGTACAGGGAAGCCCCTCACTGACAGAACACCCACTTGGGCCTGAACCTGGGTGTATGTGAAACCACAGAAATTTGGGCATTTGTTAGAGTAGCTCATGTTAATCTAAATATTAAAAATCCCAAGAAGACTTATGTCAACTAACGTATGAGTCACATTCTTATTCAACACAACCTTAACATTGTAATGTCCTTGACTACTCTTTAGAAATTTCCCTTGCTTTTTTTCTGACCGATGACCACTTGTTTCTGCTACATTCTATCACCTATGATTGCAATCTAATTGTATTTTGGCCTGCTACTTTCTCGGACTTTCCTCATAGCTCAGTCGGTAAAGAATCTGCCGGCAATGCAGGAGACCTGGGTTCAGTTCCTGGGTTGGGAAGATCCCCTGCAGAAGGAAATGGCAATCTACTCCAGTATTCTTGCCTGGAAAATCCCATGGACAAAGGAGCCTGGTGGGCTACAGTCCATGGGGTCGCAAGAGTCAGACATGGCTTAGCGATTAAACCACCAAACCACACTACTTTCTATACATATCTGGAAAAATATCCCTGTATTTTACTATCCAGTCTTATTTTGTTAAAAAACTATGAGGTCTAATATTTTGACAGTTTGTTCCTCAAAGAAGATCTTGTACACAATTATTCTAAACTTTTATCACCACATAAAAACAATATGGTCAGGAAATGATAATATCTTGTACTACTAGAGAAAATATACAGTATTGGAATATAATGTCTACATATGGACAAGAAATCAACTAGTTTAAAATATTTCATGTCTAGATTTAAACTGTGTAGCATAAACTGCTTACAGTGAAAATCTAAGAAAAAAATTTCTCAAAAATAATGAAGAAAAAGACGTATAAGATAATTTAAGTAGCTGGAATTATTCTGGCTGTCTTTATTTGGGGAAATTATTGGCGTAAGAACTAAACTGATGATATGTTAAGATGATAACTCATCATCAGATGTTCAGTTTATGACATTTCAGCCAGTTGATGCCCTTTCTTTCAAAAGGGCTTGTGCAGAAAAGAATTAACACAGCAGGCCTGAGACTGCTATTCTGAGAGGCGTGTGTTTGCAAGGCTGGCCCTTGGCTGGCCTGGGGGAACCTGGGTTTCAGGTGTGTTCCCACCATTCCCTGATAAGAACAGCTCACTGTGCCTAAACTGTGCAAACTTGTGATTTATGCTGACCACCTGCCTTTCTTCTAGATGTGGGGAATTCTGGCATGAATTCTGAGGGGTTGCTTACGTGACCAGCCCCCAGTAAGAATTCTGGGCACTGGATTTCTGGTAAGCTTCCCTGACAGACCACATTTTACACGTGCTGCTGTACTTGGAGCTTAAGGAATGAGCTGTCACAGGTGACTTCATAGGCAGAGGACTTCTGGAGGCTTGGATCTGGTTTTCTCTGAACTTCACCCCATGCGCCTTTTCCTTCTGCTGATTTCACTTTGTATTCTCTCACTGTAATATTTCTATATCCATGAAATATTCTGAGTCCTAAGAGTCCTCTTATTGAATCATCAAACCTGGGGTGGTCTTGGGAGCCCCCGATACAGCCCTACATCTGCCATCGTAGGTAAATAGTAAATTACAGACTGAGCCACAGGGTGCCTTGCCATTTGTAAAACAGAAAACATTTCTATTGGAACATTTTCTTATCTGCTTATACAAAGGAAAATGCAAACACTCACCAGATCAATTGTTTTGGCTCTTTGCTTGGATTCATCATCACACCAGGTTTCACACCACAACCATTCTTGGGGAAGAGACTTGATGGCAACTTGGTAAATCATATTATTGGGAAGATCCTATTAGAAAAAGAATGATTTCAACACAGAGGAATAGCAATTAGAGTCAGAGTGGAAGAAGTTGAAGATGTCATTTAGATTATAAATGGATTCTATAAAACATACCCAAATCTGAGATATAGTCATATTTTTAAGCTTTAAATACTTAATCTGACCCAATGTTCTCACGTCATGAATGAACCTGTGCACTGGAAGGAAGCGCGCACCTGCCCTGGACTTTGCTCCTGCATTGGGGTTGGAGAGGGGGGCCCAGAACCTGCCTTGCAATGCCATGTCTACCTCCAGCTGCCTTGAAACACCAGGATTAATCACTTACACTGTGTCTTACTGGTTATGTGGTCACCACCACACTCTCCAGATTCTGAGGTGACTTTTTAGTTTCCTATCAAGAAACTGCTCCATGAATATTTTCACACTTCTGCACACTCACAGCTTTCTAAGCAAAGTCTGCTGGCACCTGGGTAAAAGAATGTTTAAATGGCAAATGAACCTAGTAAGTTAAAGACAGATCTCTGGAGACATCAAGAGACCCTTTTCGCAGAGGTATCTGTTTACATGTCAAGGGCTGTCGAGCCTGTCCCTATGTGTCCCCAGAGAGTATCTGTTTGCATTCCAGAGCAAAGGGCATGTTTCCTTTCTCTCCCAGAGGGCACCAGGGGTACTTGTGTTAGATGTTCCACCTAAGGTCCAAGACTCATAATTTTAGGGTTCTTCTCACAGCACTTCTATTAATCATAATACTGAAAGTCCTAGCCAATGAAACATGATAGGAAAAGGAAATATAAACCGGTATACAGATTGGAAAGAAAGCAATAAAATTGTCTTTGTTTGACGATGACAAGATTGTTTATGCAGAAAATCCTAAGAATCAATAACAAACTCCTGCAATGAATAAGCAATTACAAGGTTTCAGGATACAAGGTTAGTATACAGAAAGTCAAGTGCTATATATCTGCAATGAACAAGTGGAATTTAAACTTGAAAACATAACATCATTTACATTAGCACAATCCAGCCCCCCTCCCCCGCCGCCGGCCCCCCACCAAACAAACCTAGGTAAAAATCTAAAAGAATGTTCCTCTACATAAGGAAAACTAAAATTCTGATGAAAGAAACTTAGGGACATCTAGATAAATGGAGAGGTATTTCATGTTCACAGATAGAAAGACTCAATATTGGTATGATGTCAGTTCTTCCCAACTCAATTTATAAATTCAACACAATCCTAATCAAAGTCCCAGAAAGTTATTTTGTGGATATCAACTGATTCTAAAGTTTACACAGAAGGCCCAGAATAGCCAACCCAGTGTTGAAGAAGAATAACAAACAGGATGATAGTGGTGAATTTGAAAATCTTCATATAAATTCTCTAGTAATTAAAACATAGAGATTTGTAAAAGAATAGACAAACACAGCAATGGAACAGAATTGAGCCCAGAAATATGAGAATTCTTTGTACTTTCTACTCAATTTTTTCCCTCTAACACTGCTCTAAAAAAGTCTTATCAATTTAAAAAAATAAAAGCTTGACTGTTCCTTCTTTGAACCCCCTTTTCCTGAAAATCCATTCTTTAAATCTTTAAATAACCTGGTCTATCATCTTATCTCAGCGACTTTCTCCCATTATATACTCCCAGTCTCTGACTACCTCTAGATTTTCAGCTTACTCCATCAAGTACTCAGATATCAATATCCTTTGATCCCCTTTGGGACCTGATTGCACCATTGTTTCACTGTCATTTATCCCTGATGTCTTCACTCTCCCTTCTTCAATTTCCAAGGTTCATCATTATGTTTAATCCCTTGAATAGATTCTCAACTGTCTTACCCTTCTCTCATTTAGTTGGACATGTTTGGCAAAATAGTCCTGGTTAAATCCAAACTCTGACCTGCCCCCATCCAACTAAACATGGCTGGCAAAACACACAGACACATACACTACACTCTTTTACATTCTCATCAGCAGTGTGTGATGGTTCCAATTTCTCCATATCCTTGCCAATGCTTTTATGGACCATCTTTTTATTATAGCCATTCCAGTGAGTATGACATGGTATCTTGTAGTTTTAATGTAGTACCTAGTGACCAATGATGCTGAGCATCTTTCATGCATTTACTGGCCACTTGTGCACCTTCTGTGGAAAAATATCTATTTAAATCCTTTGAGTATTTAAAAAATTGGTTGTCTTTTTGTTATTAAATTACGAATCCTTTATATGTTCTGGATACTAGTTCCTTATCAGACATATGATTTTCCAGTATTTTCTCCCATTCTGTGGGTTGTCTTTTTCACTTTGTGCTCTTTCATGAACAAAGTTTTTAATTTTGATGCAGTCCTATCTGTTTTTTCTCTAGTTGCTTATATTTCTTGTTTCATATCTAAGAAACCATTGCCTAATCCAAAGTTACAAAGGTTTACATCAATACTTTGTAAGAGTTTTACACTTAATCCTCTCACATTCAGGCATTTGATCCATCCTGAATTAATTTTTTGTATATGATGTTAGGAAGGGGTCCAATTCATTCTTTGCAGGTAGACATCTTATTGTTATAGCATCTTTGTTGAAAAAAACTATTGTTTCTCCATTAAATTATGCTGGCATGCTTGTCAAAAATCTGGTGAGCATAGATGCATGGACTCTCAATTTATTTCTGGACTCTCAATTCTATATCATTGATTTATATGTCTAACCTTATGTCAGTCCACTCTCTGTACATATTTAAAGGGTATAATTTGATAAGTTTCACATATTAAATATTCCTGTGATACTATGACCACAATCAAGCTCACTGAATATATCCATAACCCTCAAGTTTTGTTGTGCCTTTTTGCAATCCTTCTGGGCTGTCCTTTCTACACACACCTAAGCTAGTTCCTGGGCAAACATGAACTGCTTTTTGTCCATGTGGATTGGTTTACATTTTCTAGAATTTTATATAAACAGAATCACATAATACGTATATTTTTGGCCTGGCTTGTTTAATTAGATCAGCATAATTTTTAGATTCATTGAAGTTGTTATGTGTATGATGAATAAAATTCCACCCTTTTTACTGTTCAGTAAATATACCTTTTTACTATTGAGTAAAATCTTTTTAATTCAATTTCATTTTGATAGACATCTGGGTTTGTGGCAGGAAGCTTCTGACCTGGCTCCCAGTGATCCTTGCCTCCCAGTACTCATTCTCTTGTGCAAGTATTCCTCCTAGAGTGTGGCTGGACCCACTGACTTCCTTCTAACAACAGAACATGCAAACGTAATGGGATGTCAATTTTCTGAAGAGTGTGTGGAGAACTGATACTATTTCTTTCTTTAATATTGGGTAGAATTTCATGTATGGTAGAAATTAGAAGGTATGGTAGAAATTAGAAGCTACCTAGGCCTGGAAAGTTGTGCTAAATTCAATTTCTCCAATAAATACGGTGTTCTTCAGGTTATCTCTTTCTTTCTGAGTGCATTTTGATAGTTTGTGTCTTCTATGTAACTTGTCCATTTCATCGAAGTTGTTTATTACCATAAAGTTGTTCATAATAGTTTCTCATTATTCTTTCAGTATCTATAGATATTGTGCTATCATGTCTCTCATTTCTATATTGTATTAGTAATTTATGTTTTTTATCTTTTTCCTGATCAGTCTCCCTAGTGGTTTGAGCTTTGCTAATTTTATCAAAAAACCAGCTTTTGTTCATAAGAAAACCTACTGAAACACATCATTTTTTCCATTTTTTCATTTCATTGATTTCTGCTTTCATTGATTCCACTCCACTCATTAATTATTCCCTCCTTTCTATTTACTCTGGTTTAAAATTTGCTTTTTTTTTTTTTTTCTAGTTTCTAGGTAGAAGCTGAGGTTATTTGAGACCCTTTTCTTTTCAATATAATACTTAGTGCTACTGTTTTTCTAAGGACTATTTTAACTACTTCAGATGATGTAACTTATCATTTACTTTGTATACAGAAGAGAAGTAGCCTAAGGCTAAAAATATATAAATTCATATGAAATGGTGAATGGCTTGGTTGATTGGTCAAGAGCCCAGAAAGGCAAGGACATGGGTCCAAGGGGGCAAAGTAGAAGTGACCCTGCTTATCCCTCCCAGTGAGCTTCCTTGGGGAAGCTGTGCTTATTATCCTCATAACTCTGGGAGGCTCTGGGTCATATCACTATCACTAGGTTCAGGGAATCTAGGTGAAGGAACAAAGATCCAGGCCCCCTGAGCAAACTGTGACAATCAAGAAAGGCCATCTCAGCTTTAGAGCCCCCTGTAGGGGTTGTCTGAGACCTTTGTTGAATTTGTAGAATTTGCCCAATTCTGCTTCCTTTCCTTCCCTAATAGCTATTGGTCCTGAAAGCACGTTCTAATAAACTTCCTGCAAGTTAATTTAGAGGCAGTTTGTTTCCTGGATAACCTAACCTGTAACAGGCAGCTGAACAGTATTTGCTGATGTAGGGAATAGTGGTAGAGAAATGTAGCTCAAAATTTGATTTTTAATTTCAGAAATGTTCTGGGCATTACTGTGTCTATTTCAATAGATTTAACATACAAGTTAGGCATTCAGAGGAGAGAGAAGAGCCAAAGATTTGGGATTTCTTGATAAAAAAAGCTGTGAATTAAAGCCCTGAGTGTTTGTAGGAATGCTAATAGAGTGGGCACAGAAAGAGAAGTGAGCCACGAGCAGAAATTTAGAGGACAGCAACATTTAAATAAGAGGTGGAAAAAGAGTAGCTTTAAAATAAATTGCAGTGGGAAAGTCATGGATATCAGAGAAGAAGCAGGAAGATTTGGTATTATGAAAGCTAAGGGAGTTTCAAGAAAGGTGAAGTTGAAAACATTTGTGTTTCAAAGAAGGTAAACAGGCAAAAAGTGTTCACTGGATAAGAAGCTATTACTCTGACTTTAGAGAGAAGCATTTACTGGACTGGCAGGAACAGGAGTCAAATATATCAGAGAAAGGACAACTATTCCCCAAATATAGTGATGCTGTTCTGGAAGAGTCCTTCAGATGCTTGCTGGTTTGTCTGAAAAACTGGTCTTTTCTTCAGTATCCACAGGCAGATAGGGTTCCTTATGATTAACCCACCGGGGAAATGACTGAATTATAAAAATGTGGTATTCATAATCTAAATCTGGAATATCACTGGGGTTTACTGCAGACTCAACATCATTTTTTTTTTTTTAACTAATTGGCAATACTGCAGACACTACCTTACATTTGTACATACATATGGCGAGTTCTCTCAACTTTCAAGAATGATTTTTTTTTTTTTAAATCGGTCCTTCACCACTGTGGTCTTGAATCAATCATTAGTATTTTGAACTATAATATTACATTTGCTTGACTTTTAAACAAAGGGCCTCAAGTTTCTGTGTTATCTAGACCCTCTGTTACCTCTCTTCCCTTATATCAGACTATTTTCTCCCCATCTGTACTATTTCTCAAACATGTAAAGCCCACTCTCACCTTGGGACCTTTGTATTCGATAGTCTTTCTGTTTGGAATTCTCACCAGTATCTGCACAGTCAGCTCTTAAGCCTCCACTGGAATGTCACTTTCATATACGTCTACGGCCACTCAATTTACAACAGCAAACCCTAACCCCTGTTCACCATTCTGAACTCTATCATGTTTTCCTCTTTTACTTTGTCTCTGAAGTACTCCTTATCTTTAAATACTGCTCACTGATTTATTTGGTCATTTTACCACTAGAATGAAAGCACCATGTGCTAAGGATCTCTGCTCTGTTTTCTGATGTCCCAGCACTTAGGAAAGTATCTGACACATTGTAAGTATTTAACAGATACTTGCTGAATGAATGAACAAATATGTATGGTTCTAATAAGAACTTATATTTGTTATTCATTGGAAAGAAGGAATAGCGGGAACTAAGGCCTACAGGGTCTTTTTGTCATTGTTGTTTAGTCGCCAAGTCGTGTCTGACTCTCTTGTGACCCCATGGACTGTAGCCCGCCAGGCTCCTCTGTCCATGGGATTTCCCAGGCAAGAATACTGGAGTGTGTTGCCATTTCCTTCTGAGGAAATTAAGGGTACCGTAGTGAGGAAATAAAAGGACATGGGAAAAAGTATTTGTGAGGAAAAACAAAACATAAGGCAGTATCCAGGGAGGGCACAGGATGAAGGGAATTTCTCTGAAAGATCAGACAGACAGAGAGAAAGGAAGAGAAAGGGGCAGAGTGAGGGAGGGAGACAGACACCTTTAAATGGCGATGGAGGCAAGTGAGAAACAGACAGGGTAACACAGTGAGGTCACACAGCGTAAAGAGGTTTAAGGATGGAAAAGTCAAGATCAAATATTTCAGTTCTGACAATGCTGGGCTTAAAGTGAAAAAATATGTACAAAACTGTATAAAGGGAAGAAAGGTTGAAAATACAAGATTTTGATGTTTCTAAACAGCAGGGGGTTACAGCAGTCTACGAGTACTGAAAATTATTCCATAAATATTTCCCTTACCTGATCTAGGTTTGAAAGACTGTTTGGATCTTGACTGAGCGTTTGGTACTGGCCCCGGAGCCTGTCGCCTGCCGCAATTCTCCTGAACTTCTTGAGATCCACCACGTATAAGGCGCTGCAAGAAATGTATACTCCTTGACAGCCAGTATTTTTCATGTCTATTTACTTTCCTCTAGTGACTATCTACAGTGATGGTATCAACTTTAGATATCCTTGGGTCTAACACAATGAATCTTTTATAATTTGTTCCCCATGTCTAATACTCCAAGGAATTTGAGGTTTGATTTGATGCTGTTAAGACCCACATCCTCTCAGGGTCACCGCCAAGTTTTCTAAGATCTCCTGAAACTCATGGCCCTACAAAACAATAATAGCTTTTTTTTCGAATTAAAAAAAATTTATTTGGCTGCGCCAGGTCTCAGATGCGGCATGTGGGATCTAGTTCCCATAACAAAGATTGAACCTACGCCCCCTGCATTGGGAGCGTGGAGTCTGAACCACTGGACTACCAGGGAAGTCCCCATAATATCAGCTTTGAAGACAGTATCTTCATTCTGTTACGTGATAAACAAAGTTTAACTCTTCTGCAGTAGTTAGGAACAGACAGTAGAGTCAGGTTACTTGGGTTTAACTCCTGGCTCAGCTTTGGACTAGCAGCGTAAGCATGGGCAAGGGACAAAAATGCTGTATGCCTCAGTTTTCACATCTATAAAATAGGGATGATAACAGTATCAAAAGGCTGTCATAGAGATTTTATGAGTTAACAGATGTTAAATCTTATAAGAGTGACTGGCATGTAATAAGCACTATATAATTGGTTGCTGTTATTTTATAATTTCAAAGAAAACTGAGCCTTGTGATTCAAAAAGTTATTCACTCAAAGATAAGAGTATGAATTTTCTTACCTGATATGGTATTTCCTTTTTAGAAGATGTGATGCCCAGTATCCTGTTTTCCAGAAGCGATATCCATCCATTTCTGTGCGGCTATCACAGAAGGGAGTATACCCGTAAGGAGCTCCATTCAAGTCAAAATCTCGAAGTTCTTTCAGGTCATGTCTCACAATCTAAATAACAGAACAGTTTCTCTGATGAAGACTATAAAATAATAGCAGCCCTTTTAATGTGACTCTCAAGTCATCATTATCTTGTTGTAGAAAAGACGGAGAACTGAGTTTTCCCCACAGTTCTTTCATCCAGCACATGTTTACCAAGTTTCTATTTCTCCCCCTTGTCCTCACAGGTTAAAAGAAACTTAAAATTTACATACCTAGTCTGTATGTTAGTGGTTTTACTCATTAATAAGAACAGTTTGTTACATCATTTTTAATCAAGATATTTTTAAACTGAAGTACAGTTGATACATTATAGTATATAAGTCACAGGTATACGATAGTGACTCACAATTATTAAAGGTTACATTTCATTTATAGTTATTATAGAATATTGGCTATATCCCTCATGTTTTTGTACAATATATTCTTGTAGCTTTTTTATACCTAATAGCTTGTACCTCTTAATCTCCTACCCATATATTTGCCTTTCCTTCCTTCCCTCTCACCACTGGTAACCACTAGGTTTGTTCTCTATGAATCTGCTTTTTGTTTTATTCACTAGTTTGTTGCACTTTTTAGATGCCACGTATAAGTGATATAACATATCTGTGTTTCTCTGTCTGAATTATTTCACTGAGCATAATGCCCTCCAAATCAATCCATGTTGCTGCAAATGGCAACATTCCATTCTTTTATGGCTGAGTAGTAATATGTATCACATTCAGTATTCATTCATCTGTTGATGGACACTTAGATTGCTTTCATATCTTGGCAATTTTAAATAATGCTGCTATGAACACTGGGGTATATATGTCATTTCGAATTAGTGTTTTTGTTTCTTTCAGTTATACACCCAGGACTGGCATTGCTGGGTCACATGGTTGTCCTAGAAAAAGTTTTTTTGAGGAACCTCCATACTATTTTCCACAGTGGCTGTACCAATTTACATTCCCACCAATAGTGTAGGAGGGTTCCCTTTTCTCCACATCCTCACCAATATTTGTTATTTGTGCTCTTTTTGATGATAGCCATTCTGACATGTGTGAGGTGATATCTCATTGTGGTTTGATTTATAATCAAGGTATTCTGAACAAAACATATTTCGGTAAGCCATTAAATATATGAGTGCACAGCTGTTAATTTCTCAAGGTATAGATTAATAATTCAAAACAATTTTTATGGTGTATCTCTATTACTGTAAATATGTTGGCAAATGTTAGTTTTAATCATAAAGAAAAATCTTCTGATTATTCTCAATGGCTTCAATGAAGTAATATTAGCCTGTTTGATTTTTTAATAGATTCTAGCCTGCTAGAAAAATATTACTGCATATATAATGGGAAAAAGAAATCAATTTTATGTTAGTATGTTTGAAAATACTTCATTAAAAACTAAGAAAGTAGGCAAAAGTGTAATTATAATTATTCACATTTATCAATTTGGAAAACAATACAAAGATAACAGAATTTAGAATACATAGATATAATATAGAAGTACATTATAAAATAGGATTTGAAAATATACTTTAGTACTAAATAATATACTAACTTGTGCATTTAACTTACATAACACTTATATTTACATACTATTGTTTTTAGAAATTCTGTGTATTTTTAAAGGCTTTAAGAGAAATTCTGTGTATTTTAAAAGTACTTATTATTATTATTATTATTTTTTACCATTAATGATTACAAAGGCAGGTAAGGAGGGAAGGGTAAAAATTATAACAATTTCTGTTGAAAGCTGAGGACCATAATTTTTTTGGCCAAATTAGGCTTTTTTAAAGTGGCAGAATAACGGGATTTGGTTATTGCTAACTGCCAAAGAATGTTGCTGAAGGAGGAAAAAGAGAGATGAGTGTAATTGCTAATGTTTCCAGCAAGAAGAAACAGTTCACTTTAAACAAATTTCAGTTCATATCCATAGGAATTCATATAGCTACTTTTACTGTGATGATTTATATAAGTATTTGTTTTATTTTTAACTACAAAAAAAAAAAACTACCTCAGAGGAAAAACTGCCATGTCTTAAGGAATAACTGGTACTTCTGGCAAAACTTTTGATTTCCCCCTGGAATGCAGATTATCTTCAGAAAAGATACTTTGCTTATATATTAAAATTATGTCTTATGTTTACATAGCATGGCAACAAAGATAGCAATAAACAGCAGCAACATAAAGTGTGTCCTATACCTAGAAGTATAAAAAAGTTAAAGTACTCTTAAAAACAACAGTTAATCTTATTACCTGGTCAGCATCAACAAAAATGATTTTGTCCACTGCAAGAGGAAAAAGGACATCAAGGAAAAGAATCTTATAACCCCAAATAATCCGCTGTTTTTCTGTCTGTTGATGAAGCCACCGGGGCCACCTATACTGGACTAGTTCATATTGGAATCCATACTCCTTAGCCATGTGCGGGATCACTTCCTAAAACACACACACAAATCAAAGAATGTGTTTAAGGAACAGAAGGTAGTATTTGTTTCAGAGAAAAAAATGTTAACATTTTAAAAGTTAGAGTTTACTATAAATCGTTACCAATGAACTGGTAAAATGTCTTAAATGGTTGTCTTCTACAACTTATACCTATTAATAAGAAATATGATGATGCTGACAAATATAAAAAGATAAGTATACATGAAAAGTGAAAAAAAGTTTTAGTCACTCAGTTGTGTCTGACTCTTTGAAACCCCATGGATGTGTAGCCCAGGCTTCTTTGTCGATGGGATTCTCCAGGCAAGAATACTGGAGAGGGTAGCCATTCCCTTCTCCAGGGGATCTTTCTGATCCAGGGATTGAACCTGGGTCTCCTGAGTTCCAGGTAGATTTTTTTTACTATCTGAGCCAGTAGGGAAGCCCTTTAAAGACATTAAAAAAATAGGTACACTATATTAATTAGCAGGCTTATTAATTAACTAAGATAACTGTTCCTCTAGTATTACTACTAATGTTTGACCTGAAAAACTTAATGATAGAAATGAAAGCCTCTGGATCTTGGAACACCTATGAATCAAACACTTCATGCACATGTCCACATGCTGGTTCATCAGAGACACCGAAGATGTGAAAGGTGTAAAAAAAAAAAAAAACCACACAAAACGAGTTGTAAACTGATAAATTATATTCTTGATATAAGTATCTGAGATTTATGACTATTTACTTCAAGGATTAAAAACACAACCCCCAGTAAAAACCCTGTACCCAAGGTCTGAATAGGCTTCTTTAATTAGCAACACTCCATGTATGCTGTCCCAGTTATACTAGGAGATACAAACTCTGTGCACACAACTCCACTGGGAGAGGAAAAGGAAAGCTTGGTCTGGTCTCCCCTGGATTCTGTCCTATGCGTCTCTTTGCTTTGCTGATTTTAATCTGCATCCTTTTGCTGTAATAAACTATGTAACTCTGAGTGAAACTGCTTTTCTGAGTTCTGTGAGACCTAGTGGGTTCTTGAACTTAGGGGTGGTCCTGGATACCTCCTAATTGTGCAAGTCAGCTATGTAACTTCTGAGTCTTGGTTTTCTGGGAATAGCACTTTATGTAAAGCAAAGGAATAATGGAGGTAAAATACTCAGAAATGTACCTGGCAATACCAAGGAATAAAAGCATGGTTGGCTGTTTTTATTTCTGCTTTCACCACTGGTTTGGGTCTAGAAAGAGAACTCCTTTAACTGCTATCGAAACAGATCCTAACTTGCCAGGAATCTGATTAATAGGAAGAAACGGGGCAAAAGTATGGGGCTAAGTAAAGGGGAACAGACGCTCCTAAGCATAAAATGCCACAGACACTAACTGTAGTGCCCGCAGGACCCCAGCAACCACGCACTGCATGCGATACTAGAGCCTTCACTCTTCTTGGCTCTGTCAAACTATTTTCTGTGGCACAGTTTTCATATGTTCTAGATACTACTGTTCTTGTCTTTCTTTGTAAAAATATGACAAAAATCTAATTTTTAAAATTAACAATCTGCACATATTTTTCACTGCCAACTTTTATCATGAAAATCCACTAATCCTAATTTTGAGTTTACTTAAAAATTAACCATCTCCTGTTGTCCTTTTAATCACTGCTTTAAATAAAAGCTGCACAGAATTTTTAAGCCAGATAAACAATATTGAATACCAAGTTTTAATTGATTATATATAATAATTTGAGTAAATATACATTTCAAAAGACTCATTCTGAAAAGAGAAATGTTACAAAGATATAGATAATTTATTATTGAAATATTAACCACTCTATATAAAAAATTAATGTACTTACTTTAAATGTTGGTGAGAGATAATTTTTAAGAAACCAGAACTTCACCGGTGTTTTTGTGTTCCGTAAAACAGAAAGCATCATAATTCTGCATAAAACGATAAACTCCATAAATTCACATTAATAGGGGTTCATCCTACTTTTCTTAAGGCATTTAAATATTTAAAGATATTAACTAGTTTTTCACTATGAATTATGCAGAAACAGAGTGAAGTGTCTTCAAATACTATGGCTGCTCATGAAGTATGTAACATATAAGAATATAATATAGGTGTATATATATAGATATACATATGTATGTGCATATGTAAATATATATGCCTGCTATAGACTAAATGGACTGCCTGTTTGTTCCAGCTGACAGGAGAAAGAAGCTAGTCTGAAACAGTATTTAGTTTAACTAAAGTCTAATCTTGGCTCTATTAATGTGTCATTCTCTCAGTCGTGTCCGACTCTTTGCAGCGCCAGAGTAGCCCACCAGACTTCTCTGTACATGGGATTTTCCAGGCAAGAATACTGGAATGGGTTGCCATGTCCTCCTCTAGAGGATCTTCCCCGACCAAGTATTGAACCCATGCCTCCTGCACTGCTGGCAGATTCTTTACTGCCTGAGCCACCGGGGAAGCCCTGTGTCATTAATAGCAGCTGTATAAACCTTGAAGGCCTGAACAGCCTATCTTGATAAATTCACTGGACAGGCCATGTGTTTTGCTATTCTAGACCTCTGCTTGGAGAGGATACAGATGTATCTAAAGTACCATCTTAAAATGTCAACACATCTTCAAATATTTTTGAGGCATTCTCTATGATCCTTCTATATATACAGTTTAAAAAAATAGCCCTCTGTAGTTTATAAATATTGCTCCCTCTTCTCAGACGCCTCCTTTTTATAAAACAAGGTATTTCTTTACCAGAAGAAGAAAATTTACTATATATTCTTTATTCTCTCACATCTTACTACAAAATATGTCCATTTTCTAACCTTTAGGAGTATTGGCATTTCAAATCAAACTTAAAATTTCACTGTGTTTAGAAAATACACTTCTCTCATAATTTTAGGTTAAAAAAAAAAGCAAGGTGCAAAGCAGTATGTACTGTGTTGTTATTTCGGTAAAAGAGTTAAAAAATATACATTTGAGCTTGTCTATACTATCTTTGGCAGGTATTAAAGTAATAACATTGGTTTCCTGTGAGAAAGTGAATTGGGGATCAAGGGAACAGAGGTGGGAGATTTTTTTCACTGTAATTTCTTTCATTCTTTTAAACTTTAAAAATTATTTTCGGACCATGTAAGTGTATTCCTTTCCAAAACACTAGATTAAAAAAATGCCTACCTTAAAAAGCGTTCATATAAATGGCCAGAAGCAACTGAAAAAATGTTTAGAACATCTTTTTCCTTATTATCGTCTTGTTTATGCAGCTTCCTTGTGAAACTTGGAATAAAAAAAAAACTACTGATCATTAGTTTCTTAATACACATCTGCACACTTTATATACCTAAATAAAGTACTGAATTTGATAAGAGATAAAAATAGGAATGCTTTTCTAAATGAATAGTTAGTACACTGTAAGTTAAGTACTTACCCTAAAAATTATGATTTATATTTAAATGTGACAATATAACTTGAAATTTTATGATTTTTAAAAAATGGACAACACAGAATGCTATTATATTTTCTGTAGATTAATGAGATACTACTTTTGAATCTTTGTGAGTTACAAAAGTTATCTTAAGAGCACAGAATGAGTTGCAGCATGCCATGGCCACATGCAGTGTTTTGAGGCTTTTGTTACAACAGGTATTTTTGAAATCTTTTCTCACTGTAAACCCCCAATTAAGAAAAATACAGTTGATTCAGGGAGGGGAAGGAAAAAAATCACTTGAAGTTAGGATTAAAACTAAGACATAAAAGCGAAAGCACTCTAACATACACTTACGTATCTGGAGGAGTCACCATTCCCCAAGACTTATCTTCTCTCTTTCTAACAAAGCAGCGCTTTGTTCTGGTATCCCTTCTGTGCAATAAGTGGCTACGCCATAGGTTAACAATATCTTTATTCCTTTCTGTCTCTACCTTCTGGTTTCAATGGAAGCTCATGAACAGATATACTTTAAAATGCCCAGATTCTAAACAAGTCTACTCAACTCATCTCAAAAGGAGTGAGTCTGAGACTTTCTCGATTGGGAACCAGTTCAACAGCATACTGGGACAGTAACATCATTCTTCTCATCAAACAAGAAGACAACTTACAGAAAAAGAAGCCTAAACTGGGCAGGCTCTTCTTGTAAACCTTTGTCTGAAAGTGAAGGCAGCACAAATAACAGAACTATGTGTTGGAGACGTCTGGACCACATCACCCGAATGCTCAAAGTCAGCTCTGCTCCTGAACTCTTTAGATGTGTGAGCTGATATATTCCTTTTCTGATTAATACAGGTCCCACCCTAACTTAAATATTTCCCATGATATTTAACATCTCTGCTAACCTGGGCTACTTCCTGTTCTGTGAGAAACATACCCAATCTTTTTGACTTCAGGTAACCAGGTACCTTCTCTCTCTGTCCATCCTTTAGAATATATCTTAGCCATGCACTCCTCCAGTCTTTTCTGAGGTTCCTTCTCTCCTCTGATTTGAATAGCCCTTTATGTTCATTCGTCTTACAGCTCCAGTTTCCTATCTCGTATCAGTAATATTTATGTATTGTCTTATCCTTTCTAGAGAACATCTGTGCTTAATTAAATGTTTACCATGTGCAGGGCTTCCACACACTATAGACTCTTGATGGGTTTATAGTTATATGTTAAAACATTCATTAGTAATTACCTTTTAATGGAATCCCACATTCCTCTTTTCTTTTCACCTTTATCGGAAAGGATATCTTCCTTGATTTTATCTGGCTTTTTCCGTACCTAGGTAGCATGGTAAAGAAAAACTTTAGAATTTTATAGATTTAAATATTATGCTGCATGGATAGAAATATCTTGGGCAGGTGACTCTTGTAAATCTAAGATGTGGTTTAGTCACTAAGTCATGTCTGACTCTTTGTGACTCCTTGGACAATAGTTCCCCAGGCTCTTCTGTCCATGGGGTCTTCCAGGAAGGATACTGGAATGGGTTGGCATTTCCTTCTCCCAGGGATCTTCCCCACCCAGGGATCGAACTTGGGTTTCCTGCATTGCAGGTGGATTCTTTATCAACTGAGCCAGCAGGGAAGCCGTAAATAGTTACAGTGAATGAAGCCAAAAAAGATCACAGTACTTTGTAGAGACAATCTGGTTTCAACCATCAGTTCAGTCTCATTTTCAGTTCTTTTGTAATAACCTCCACACTGCTAAATAATGTGCTTATATGTGTACTTACTGATTTATCAACTGTAGATGTCATCTACTATATATCTGGTTCACAGAGTTTAGACATTATTCATTCTTTGTCACAAAGGACGAGTAGCTTACTTCTATCACTCTTCCCTTCCCGTCTTTGTCTGGAGGTTCTGGTAATACTATCTTTATCATTAGTTTTTCTACTGAGCATTTTTGTAACTTTAAGTAATCCTTAAATCTATATTTTTTATTCCAACAAATTCAACAGTTTCTCTTGCACATATCCTATGATAAGGATACTAGCATCTCTACCTTTTCCCTTTGTCTCAACTTACATTAGCTAAACCTTTACTTTGGCGTTGTAAATATGGATAAAATTTACATTTACCTTGGTCAATATAACTATCTTTTGCATTGTTTATTCTACAACTTGAAAAATCAATAAAAAGTACATATTGTGACACTGTAAATACTGCTCAATTGAGTCTGAAAGGTTACTACATTTCCTCTACAGTTACGATGGTATGACCACCATACTCTTCCCGGTTCACACGGATTCTGCTTTCTCACATCAATAGATAAGCATTTTTTTCTTGGAATTTTATTGTATTTTTCTTGTGGTAAGATATTTCTTCATCGTATACCTAATATTTTCCAGTTTATTATTCATGTTACTTAATCATCTGGAATTCCTATCTTTCTGAACACATTTTTCTTGGGGCTTAACAATGAACTGCTTCTTTCAAGCTTTCTTTGCATTGGTTTTCACATTAATTTCATCATTTCTTGAAATACCCATTTTCCTCTTTCTTGTTCTTTATTCTCTTTGTGATGGCAAACACCTTCAAGAACAGGTGTGAAAAGTAATTTTTCTAAATCGTCACCCTTCAGAGAATATTTGACTAAAGAATCCCAGGTTCAAAATAACTGTTCTCAAAACACTGAAGTCTTTATTTCATTGTCTTGAAAAATAAAACATCTGATGCTACTGTTAGAGTCATTCTAACGTCATTGAAGTGACTTGTGTTTTCTCTTTGGTAGTTTCTAGGATCTTGTGTGGGCCATTTATCACTCATTCTAATTTGTGGACCCCTTGATGTGAATATGTTTGCCTCTCTTTATCTGTGGGATACTTCCCCTCCTCCATTTTCTGTTCTTCCTTCCTGGAATTCCTACTGGTGAGCTACTGGAATTCATGGGCTGACCCTTTATGTTGCTTATCTTTTCTCCTCCCTTTTTCCCATCCTTTTGTGTAATTTGGAAACACAGAAGGTGAGCAGATAGAACTGTTATTAAAAAACAACTGAAGAACCTAGGTATGGTTAGGCTGTAGCATGTCTTCAGGCATGGCATGACCATCACCCTCAACAAAGATTTGATGACTTTGGTGAAGGAGTCAGACCTGCTCTATACCAGGCAAGAATAGGTAAAATTAGAGCCAATATGGAGAGTGAAAAAATTCAGCTCATCAAAAAGAAAACTTAATAAAGAAATTTTTCGATGGTCAAAATTCCTCAAATTTAAAACACCTCAAGTCTCCCAGCAGAAAAAATATTTTTCTTTCCTGTTTGTAGGGTTAGGATAATACTAGCTGGAATGCTGGTCCTAACGGATTTGGGTTGACCTGGTAACTTAAGCAGCTGCTCTGAGTTTATGGAGTTTTCATTTGAAATGATTAGAAGGAAATGTATCAAGGCCAGAATGTAAGTTTCTGCTCCCGAGAAAAGAAGCCAAGGTCAATATAGTAAAAACAGTATCAAAGGTGAGCGTAAACAACATGTATACACTGATCAAGGATAAAGAGCAGAGGTGATAAGAACAGGTTATGATGTGGGATGCAAGGCAAATTCTGATTAATTTGGTAGTTTAAGATCTATGCAGTATATAAGTTAAGAGTTCTGGCTGCCTACTATTATGCTTCAAATAATACCTGTACCTCACTCTGTCTTTCATCACCTTCTTGAACTCCACTTAAATGGATTTTTATTAAACACTCAAAAGTATTTTATAAAGCTTAATTACCTTACCCTTATGGCAGACATATAAGGAGGATTCCATTATTAACTCTGTATTATAGATAAGAAAAACGAGTTAGAAAGAGGTTAAGCAATCTGTTCAAGGTCACATAGTGAGTGAGTGGCAGAGCCAGGTTTAAATGTAACCCTGGTGTCTTAGATTTCGCACTCTATTCTCTTCCTTTTACATACTCTCTATTGTATATTCCTTTTTTTCCATGTCTCTGTTGCATATGGGATACTTCTCTTGGTCTATCTTCCAACTCACTATCTCTTGAAGCCTGTTAAAGCCAAAAACTGAGTTCTCTTGTCATTGCACTGCTCAGTTTTAGAAGTTCTACCTTAAAACAGATCAGATATGCTCTTTTTATAGTTTTTTCCTCCCTGCAATTGTTTTCAAGCTTGTCTTTTGTTTCTTTAAACACTGCAGGCATAATTTCAGTGTCTCTGTCAATAATGCTAACATATGGAGTGTTTGTTTATTTGCTGTTACTCAGTGTTTCTGCTGGTTTTGTGTATTTGGATATAGTAGTCTTATTCCAGAGATATATGGATATTCCTGCCAGATGCCTGTAAAACCTTATCTATCTGGAACCATTTTAGTACAAATTCAAAGTTCAGGGTTCCCTCGATTGCTTTGCTGTTGTTCAAACAATAACATGTTGTTGTTGCTAAGTCATATCTGACTCTGTAACCCATGGGCTGCAGTATGCCAGGCTTCCCTGTCCTTCGCCATTATTTAGATGTCATTAATTTGGGCTAGGGATTCCCTGGTGGCTCAGAGGTTAAAGTGTCTGCCTGCAATGCGGGAGACCTGAGTTCGATCCCTGGGTCGGGAAGATCCCCTGGAGAAGGAAATGGCAACCCACTCCAGTATTCTTGCCTGGAGAATCCCATGGACAGAGGAGCCTGGTGGGCTACAGTCCATGAGGTCTCAAAGAGTTGGACACAACTGAGAGACTTCACTTCACTTCTTCAATTTTGGCTAAAAGACTGTGTGGTATCCTTTACTATGGTTCATCCTTCCCCTGAAGCTATAGCCAGCTTATAGCAGAGAGGGTCTTATTTGTAAGGGTCCAGGGTTTTAATTAATTTATGTCCCCATCACCTTGCAAATTAAATAACAGTGATAGTTCAAGTGAACCAGAATGGACAAAAGTTCGAGGCCACAGCAGCTTTCTTGGGTTATAAGAAGCTTCTGTGCTTGCTCATTTCACTAGGCTCTCGTTTTCTGTGTAATTTTGGTTTTGTATTTCCTTGTTATCATTACTGTCAGCTCCTCATTGCTTTTAAAATGTTAATAAACATTTCACCCAATAATTTTTTTTTTTTTTACTGATTTCAAGTATTAAGTAGGTGGGCTCATCCAAAAGAATTAATGCTACCATCATTAAAAATTTTGCCGGTTTTTGTTTCTGTAAAGGAAAGAAACATCACTTTGTTTTTCCTGTTGAAAGGGATAGCTTTTCAACATGCATTCCTAATCTCATCCCCAAAGCCTAATTTATGACTGCTCACTTGCTTCACTCATGTCTGACTCTTTGTGACCCCATGGACTGTAGCCCGCCAGGCTCCTCTGTCCGTAGGATACAACAGGAAAGAATACTAGAGCGGGTTGCCATGCCCCCTCCAGGGGATCTTCCTGACACAGGGATTAAACCCACGTCTCCTGCATCTCCAGAGGATTCTTCACTGCTAAGCCACCAGGGAAGCACAGTTTATAACATTACTTGGCTGCAAATATAGTAGATACATCATAACTTAAAAAAATTCTTTTCTTCTATGTTTAAGTGTGCTGCTTTCCCTTCATGATTTAATTCTCTTCCTCCTTCCATTGCCAGAATTTCAATATGACATTTTAGGTAGTAAAACTGTGAAATTATTTGTAAAATAAAAATTAATTGAGAACAAAAAAGATAATTCCCTTAACATTAAGAACAAAGTCTATGAAGTATTTTGGCCTCACACACTTGTACTTCCAGTATTTTGCTTTTGAAGCTGTTTATAACAACGACAACATCTCCTAGGTCTGATGGAGAGTCAGTTCCTTCATGCCTAGAAGCACAAAAACATGTAAGTATTTATGCCCAATTTAAGAAAAGACATACAATTATAATCATATAAATCACAGAATAAATTCATTCTGAAACAATAAGTATAATCTTATTTGTGCATATGTAATATTTACTGCTTGCATAGTCAATTAAGGTATGCTGCAATACACTATAATTTTCAAAATTACCAAATTTTAACTTAATATAAATAAGATTATAGACAAATAACTCACTAAACTTGATATCGCCTAACTCAAAAAAGTAGATTATAGCTTATCTTTAATACTGTATAGTAAGATTATCACAAAAGCAATCTTTCATGTATTGCAATGATAATTAAAATATGAAACATTTTTTAGACTTTCAGTTGTTTATAAAGAGTAACAAAAGGAATTGTATACCATACAACTATTTTTCAGTATCTATTAGCCATTTTCAAATACCAAAAATTTGAAGCACATTGTTAAGCTTAAAAGACTGAAAACATGTCTCTCATGTCCATCTGCATCACTTGAAGCTATTTTATATTACACATTATGTATTTCACTGTCAGTTTTCAACACTGTATAAGTCAGTCAAATATGACAACTTTGCTCAAAAAATTTTTATAGTATTTTCACTATGAACTGAAAAATGCTACTGTAAAAAACATTTACAATAAAACTGAATTTTTTCAAAGAGGGAAAACAACAGAGGTCAAGTTAGTAGATATTTTGCATTCAGTCAGATTTATAACACACACTTGAAAATTTTTCTAAAATGAAAACCTGGGGATTCTAGGGCTATGCTGACTATCATATGCCTTTGACTCTTACTTCCAGTTCCTCTGATGAGGTACCTAAACCACAGTAGGAAGCACAGCCCTGCCCATGAATATAATCACTAGGGAAAAAAAAAGTATTCCAGCTTATGAAGTAGAAATATCCAAAGCTACAGTGAGCTATCACCTCATTCCTGTCAGAATGGCTATCACAAAAAAAGAACACAAACAACAAATGTTGGCAAGGATATGGAGGAAAGGGAACCTTCTTACACTGTTGGTGGGATTGTAAACTGGTACAGTCACTATGGACAACAGTATGGAGATTTCTCAAAACATTAAAAATAGAACTACCATATGACCCAGCAATTTCAGTCCTGGGTATGTACCCAAAAGAAACAAAAACACTAACTTGAAAAGATAGGTGTTCACCCCATTGTTAATAGCAATATTACTTATAATCACCAAGATATGGAAACCACAATATCCCTCAACAGATGAATGGATAAAGACGCCAAGGGGGTGGGGGTGGGGTGTGTGTGTGTGTGTGTGTGTGTGTGTGTGTGTGTGTGTACAGCCATTTAATCATTAAAAAAGAATGAACTTTTGCATTTGCAGCAATATAAATGGACTTGGAGGGCATTATGTTAAGTGAGATAAGTCAGACAGAGAAAGACAAATACTGAAAGATATCACTTATTTGTGACATCTAAAAAATACAACAAATGAGGGACTAAAACAAAAAGGGAGCAGACTGACTGATATAGAGAACAAAGCAGTGGTTACCAGTGGGGAGTGGGAAGGAGGGCAGGGCACTAGAGGAATAGGGAAAAAAGTGTTAATATGGAATTACATGAAATTATGTGTGTGAAACTTCTGAAAATTGTAAAGCACTCCAGAATTTAAAGAATCTTTTCATTCAATAAAAAGTAAAAGCACTAAAAAAGAATTGTGCATTCTTGCTTTGTGTACTTAAATTATTAAGCATGTTTGCTGAATGACACCACGTTCTAGGCACTATAACGAAAAGGGGAAAAACAACGGAAAAAAGTACAATAATCCCTACCCCTATATTATCCTTGTTGAGCACGCTACCTATTATAATAATAGGTGCTCAATGAATACTTGCTGAAATAAATGAAAAATTAAAGATATTAAGCCTGGAGGAGGAAATGGTAACCCACTGTAGTATTCTTGCCCGGAGAATCCCATGGAGAGAGGAGCCTGGCAGGTTACAGTCCATGGGGTCGCAAGAGTCGGACACGACTTAGTGACTAAACCTCCTCCTACAGATATTAAGAGGTATAAAAAAGTTTACTAGGTGTTAGCAACCCTTTCATGGATTAGAACCTTGTTGTGGGGAAGGGGCTTGCATAACTCAATGAAGCTATGAGCCATGCCCAGGAGGGTCACCTGAGACAGTCCCATCACTTCATGGCAAATAAAAGGAGAAAAAGTGGAAACAATGGCAGGTTTTGTTTCTTGGGCTTCAATATCACTGCAGATGGTGACTGCAGCCATGAAATTAAAAGACACTTGCTCCTTGGAAGGAAAGCTATGAGAAATCTACACAGTGAATTAAAAAGCACAGACATCTCTTTGCCAACAAAAATCTGTGCAGTCAAAGCTACAGTTTTTCCAGCAGTCATGTACAGATGTGAGAGTTGGGCCATAAAGAAAGCTGAGCACAGAAGAATTGATGCTTTTGAACTGTGGTTTTGGAGAAGACTCTTGAGAGTCCCTTGGACTGCAAGGAGATCCAACCAGTCCATCCTAAAGGAGATCAGTCCTGGGTGTTCACTGGAAGGACTGATGCTGAAGCTGAAGCTCTAGTACTTTGGCCACCTGATGAGAAGAGCTGACTCATTAGAAGAACCCTGATGCTGGGAAAGAGTAAAGACAAAAGGAAAAGGGGACAGCAGAGGGTGAGATGGTAAGCTAGCATCACTAACTCAAGGACATGAATCTGAGCAAATTCCGGGTGATAGTGGAGGACAGAGGAGCCTGGCATGCTGCAGTCCATGAGGCTGCAAAGAGTTGGACACGACTTAGCGACTGAACAACAACAGGTGCTGGCAAACTATGGCTGGTGAGCAAAATCAAGTTGGTGGGTGAGTTTTGAATGGCCCCTGCACTAAAAATGGTTTTTACATTTTAAAATGGTTGTTGAAGAAAAAAATATTGGCAAAAATCATATGTGCCCTCAGACAGTAAATATTTACTACTGGCTCCTTATAGAAAAAATATGATGATATCTGCTTTGTCCTAGGCTCATTGATGAGTAGGAAATTACTGAGAAACCAATTTTTATCTATAAAAATGAAAAACTGAACATAATTTATAGATAATGGCTTTTCTGTATAAGATATATATATTATATAGTCATTAATAAATATGTTTACAGTGTTAACATGGAAAATTCTTTAGAAAATAATAAGTAAAGGAGATGGAGTAAAGAACAAGATGTATACATTAGGCATACCTTTTATATTTTTGAAACAAAACAATAAGAATAAATGTTACAGTTTTATAAGTAGTTTTTGTTTTATTATAATGGTATTTGTGAATGTTTTAGCTGTTTTGATGATCTTTGTTATGTCACACTAAAAACTTTCTTATACATAAAAATTTTTAAGTTGTTTATATAACTCACCCAACTATTTGATAAATATCTTCAGATCTTCCTTGGCGTAATTTCAATATCCAAGCACCTGGGTTTGCTTTTAATTGAAAATATCCCTTTCAAGATGAGAAAAATATGATCACAGTTACATGAATGAAAACAACATCCAACTGTTCAAGAAATATTATTCATGAATACTCCAACAGTATTCCACTAACTCTGGAATAATTTCCATAAATGAATTTCAAGAAAGAAGATTTTGTAATAACCTATAAAAGCATATTCTGAATGTACGACCCCCTTCATTTTTATTTTAATTACTGTATTGAAGGATTTTTTTCCCTGGGAGCTATATAGCAACAGCAGTATAAAAATTATTTCATCTTTTTATTAGGAAAACTTAAGAGGATTTCACCAAAACTTCTAATTGAGTATGTATGTACTTACGAGATTGGCCATCACTATCGTATCTACCACAACAGGTTTATTTTTTGTGCCCAGCGTAAACTGCAGACCCCGAGGAGGTTGGTCTGTTGTTAAGTCAAAGCAATGTCCTTCGAGTAGTAGATATTCTAGTTCGTATTCTGCTGTGACAGCTTTCTCTATCTAGGAGGACATATGTCATTGTTTCGGGGTTAGTAGTTCTCATAATGTAAATTCTGTAATAAATACACGTGATTATTTTATTATTAGCCAAAGTATTTTCAGGGGCAGTCTCAAGTCTTCCTTTTAGCTGAGTGAACCTAACAGTTAAGTGAATTTCTTGAACACTAAAGCTTATGATTAATTTTCTTCCATTCCTGTAATACCAGCTCTACTCCACCATCATGATACACGCACCAAAATTACAAAAGAGATGTGAGCACAGATGGGTGCTCACTAAGTCCAGTTCTCATAATTTTACTGTTTTTAAGAACAAGAAATAAGTAGTTTCTTGAAAACAGTACTTGTTTCAACAACTTTAGCTGGGTTATTAACCAGTTGTTGAAATACTACTACTCTAGTGATGAACTTCATATACTTCATTAACCTATATCCATAATAGCTACAGCATTTTGTTTTTCTTTATGTAACTTTATAACTTACATCTTTTAAATGAATATTGTCAAGGTCACAGTTGCTGTGTACTATTTCAACCAACCAGCTTTCAGGAGTGATCATATTGAGGGTTAGAAGAGGTGATTCAGGGATATCCAAGAATTTTGCCACTGGTCCAGTAATATCATTAGCTGTTAACATCAGTTCTGGTTCCAGAACAAAACGGTAAAAACTGTTGGCAGAAAACAGATAAAATATGTACTGCGATCAAAACTGAGATTTCTTCTAAAATATTTTAAAATCACAAATGGATTAAAAACATGACCAGAAAATCTTAAAAAGACTAAAAACACACTACACTGACGTTAATGCTTATGTAAGTGGTAGACAACATTATTATTTTTATACTATTATCTATTATAAGACTGTATATATTATATACCCTTGTTAATTATTTCTTAATGAACATGAATCTCTTTAAGATACACTGACTTATGCAGGTTCCAGGAGTTTATGCTCTGAATTCACTCACTGATCCTTCTTCAAATGTGGCCGAGGTCTATTTTTAGTGATTTTATTAGCTCTTAGCACTATTAATGATATTAAAGAGAAATGATAACCAGAAAGCAAGTAAAATTTAAGCTAAAGTTCTGGTACTAATTGAAAAAGTGCAATTAAAAACAAACAGGAGTGAGTTGAAAGCAGCTGCTTATTAACAGAACTTTCAGAAGCATCAGCAATTATTAGTGTATTTTTAACCTTACCTTCTAGTGTCTTACATAGTAAGAAATAGTTATATTACTAAGAACAGTGACTTTCACTATCTTGGGACTACAATCAAGGTGTCAGCTGTGCTATGGTTATCTCAGGACTCCATGGGGGAGGAATCCATCCCCAGGCTCCTGCAGCTCCTCACTAGTGCTTGGCTGGAGATCGCACTCAGTCCTTAGCACAAGAGCATTTCCAGCAAGCTTAGCGAAGCACACAAGAGCAGGAGAGAGAATGCCAGCAAGACAGAAGTCACAGCCTCTTATAACCTAACTGCAGAAGAGACATTCCCTCACTTTTGCCACATCCTGTTCATTAGAAGCAAATCATCACATACAACCTGCACTCAAGGAGAATCTAGGTAGGGTGTGAATCCCCAGAGGCAGAGTCAAAACAGAGAGTAGGAGGAGATGGTGAAGAGAACACAGTCCAAACCAATCCAAACCAAGTACCGGGTGCTGTCAAAGGCAGCAGAAATGTCGTTAAGAAATATCCTATGGATTTTGCAAGCAGCAATTTGTGAATTAGTAAAAACAATTCAGTGGCAAAGAGGATAAAGACTAACTTCAGTGGGAGGTTCAAGTGAATGAGAGATGAAGAGGGGGGTTGGCCATACTTAAGAGAACCTGACATGAGCAAGAATGGAGAAGAGAAGGAAGAGGCAGGGCTCCAGAGGACAGGACGTTAAGGGAGCAGCTTATTTTCTTTTTAAAAACTGAATAACTTCTGAGACTGAAAGAAAAGGGCTAGTAGAGAGGTTAGAGATATGGAACAAGGAACTGTGATAAAAGCAAGGATCTAGAAATAAATGGCAAAACACAGGATCACCTTAACCAAGAGGAAAGATGACAATTCTTCCCGTACCACACAGGAAGCCTGGAGAGGTTCAGGAGACAGAGGAGGAACCGAGGGAATTCCTACCCATAACCTCTGTCATCTCAGAGAAGCATGAGACAGCATTTTAGAAGTTAAGGTCTATGAACTGTTAAAAAAAAAAAAGTTAATAAACAGAAACCTCAAGTACAATCAGGAGACTACACTGGGGAGTACTCACAGCCTCTGATGATAACATAGCCCAACAGGAAGAAGAAAGACTTCTCTTCTTCCCTGGCAAGGACTCAGACCTGAGAAGCCATGGGCTCACTGTTTACTACAGACCCCCGCTACCCCGACTTCCTTTCCTCTCTAAGAGCTCTCCTTCCTCTGCCTTGTGTAGAGACTTGTACATGGCACTCTGTGGTCGCTGACCATGAATTACAATTCTCTGCTGATCCTGAATAAACCCATCTTTTCTGGAGAAATATCTAGCAATCTATTTGTTTTAGGTCAACAGAATTAATGTGTCAACTAGTTTTCTTAATATATGCTACTAAGTATATAAGACACTGTTGAACTGGTAGGTTAAAACGAGTTCAAAGATTTTGTCTTGTGCACCATTATTAACCACTTGCAGCATCTATCTGGCATATGAGGTTTTATTTCACTTTAGAGAAGTCAAGTTCTCTTCCTTCTAACAAACTGTGCTAGATTATGTTTAATATTCTCACTCTTTATCATATATCCCAAAGCTCTACAGAGACTTTGTGGAGAGGATTCCTACTTGGGTGAGTAAAAACTCTGTACTCATGGGAAGACCTCTCAATTAGTGGCTAAAATGAGATTTAGAAACATATAATAAAATCTGAAATACAAAAGAAAAATAAGTATGAAAAATGAATTATGAGGACAAAAATCTTAGGTAATAAATGTAACCTACACCTTCATTTGTGTCATATTTTAGATTCCACATATAAGTGATAACATATGGTATTTATCTTTTGACTTACTTCACTTAGTATGATAATCTCTAAGTACATCCATGTTGCTGTAACCCACCATATATTTCTAAATAGGTACTTCTAAATCAAATTTTTAAAAATACCCATCGATGAACATAATCCATGTAAATTCTGCAATTATATTGGATGAATTTTACTGGTTAGGTTACCTTAATTTTATATCAATTAAGGTTAATAAACTATCTCTGATCTATTTCAAGTAAGCATTTTGTGAAGAAAAACACAGGTGTAGTAATTAAGTTTTTTTTTCTCCTTTATAGCATGTGCAAATTTTTCAAAATGAAATTATGTTCATGTAGACTGACCTTGTTAAAGGGGCTTCTGAAAGTTTACTCCTGCAGTTCATGAACAACTTTAACTTCATGTTGATAATCTTGCCAAGGACCTGTTAGAAAAAAATTCCCATATTTGAAATTATTATTAATAGCCAACATTTACTGAGTATTTACTATGCACCAGGAACTACATTAATACTTGACATCTGTTAACTCGTCTGATTCTCACAACATCCTTCTGACGCAGCTACTTTTATAGGCGAGGCACAGACAGATGTAGCAATTTGCCTATGATCACACAGTAAGTCACGGCAGAGGTCAGATTTGAATCCACACAGTTGACATCATTGCCCAAAGGTTATGCTGCCTACCTTTTGCCTTGTGTTACTTCCTTTCATGGCATTTAAATTTCTTCACTACTGAAGAACAAGTAAAACAATTATTAGAACCTCAATGTGCAAATACAAAGTAGTGACCTCACAACTGTATGGCAAGGGTGCCCTGATCCTTATGGAATTTCATCTACGTTGTAAAAGATATAGAAAGGTCTTGGCTACACAGAGATAACATAGTCTCTTTTCATTTTCCTAGAGCATTAAAGTAGGAGAATTTTAAATTCTGATAGTCCTTACATCTATACAGGCAACAAGTCAGTGAAGATTTGAAAATACTAGACAACAAAGGACAGATGTAAAAGGAGAATAAAACAGATATATGGAATGGAAAGGATACATGTTTGAGGAGGAATTACAATATACAGACCAAGCATTTAAGAACTCTGAATTTTAATTCCCATTCTATCCCTCTTCTTATTAGCTACAATGGAGGCTGCTGAGCCACTGTTTCTCCCAAGTGTTAAATGAGACACTTTCTATTTCTTCTAGTAAATTAATTTATGCTTTAAAGCACAAAACTATAGCATAAAATTTCTGTATAGAACGAAATAAGTTATGTGAAGTTCTGAGCTGCTCTGAAATGAAGTATGCTACTATTACCAATGATGTAAACTGGAATATAATTTCATATCTTGTATTTCTGTATAATCCATATTTCTTACTCTTAAATTCTATGTTTACATAAAAGCTTCAGAGGTATGCAATTTTTTTTTTCTGAATAATGAGTCTCCATAGGAATAGTGAATTTATATACTAAAAGGCATCATACTACCTCCATTCCTTATCAGTATGATTACTGATTTGTTTTCTACAGAATAATATTGTGCCTAAAGAAGTTAAAGTTTGAAGGTACAGAAATGCTGAAAGAATAAGGTAAGTAAATCAACTAAAGAATTAACTTTGCCCCAGTTATACAATGAATAGGTACAATGGCAAAGGGGATCCAAAATTATTTGTACACATTAAGAAATGCATTTACAAGAGACACCTATTACCCACTTTCCCAGTGGGTAGGGCACACCAACTTCTGAGAGAAACAGCATTTTGAAAATTTGATACAATGTATCAGTATAATACATCAGTATGTATGATATATACATTCATCAGTATGACCCAGCTTGATCATTTACTTCTTTCACCAGACTTGACAACTATTTTTGCTTATTTCTAAAAGTAAACTGTCATAGAATAGTTTCCACTTCTGAGAATATTTTTTGATGTGTCTTTTAAAAAAACATTGAGTAATTTCAAATAGGAGTATCCAAAAATTTTGAACATCACTAGAAAAAATATGCCTTCTAACATGAGTAGCTATTTTAAATTTAAGTACTGAAAGCTGCATCACAATTTGAATTTTAATATTTTTAATTTATTCTTTTTTATTTTATTAAATTTATTAAATTAAAATAATTTAATTCTTTTAACATTATCAGTATAGGACAAGCCACAGAATGTTCTTTCAGTGTCTACTTTCTGTATTCTAATATTCATTCTCCTCTATTTCCCAGTGATGGAATCTATAGGCTTCCCTGGGGGCTCAGTAGTAAAAGAATCTGCCTGCAACGCTGAGACCAGGGTTTGATCCCTGGGTAGGGAAGATCCCCTGGAGAAGGGAATGGCAACCCATTCCAGTATTCTTGCCTGGAAAATCCCATGGAGAGAGGAGCCTGGTGGACTATAGATCATGGGGTCACAAAGAATCAGACACAACTGAGCAACTAACACACTACTTTTCAGTGAAGGAATCTTCAGGTTTACACATGTGTCTGCCTCCCGCCCCTTGTGACTAGGTGCAGCCAGCTGGCTGGCTACAGTCTGGTCAATGGGATGTGGCTGGATTGAATATATTTGGGGTTGGGGTTGTGCCCTTGTTCTCTCTTGCCTGCTGCAGTGATACAGAGATGATGCTGTGATCTTAGACTGCCACAGAGAAGCTGCTTTGAGGATAGCTGAAGAGTACGGAAGGTGCCTGAGTCCCTCACACTGTGGAGCTTCCCTGGCAACTCCACATGGCTTACACTTGGAAGCTGAGATGACAGAAATCAGCTTCAGACTTGAAGGTACTTTGCTTTTGTTCAGTTCAGTTGCTCAGTTGGGTCCGACTCTTTGCAACCCCATGAACTGCAGCACGCCAGGCGTCCCTGTCCATCACCAACTCCCAGAGTCCACCCAAACCCATGTCCATTGAGTCAGTGATGCCATCCAACCATCTCATCCTCCGTCGTCCCCTTCTCCTCCTCCCCTCAATCCTTCCCAGCATCAGGGTCTTTTCCAATGAGTCAGCTCTTTGCATCAGGTAGCCAAAGTACTGGAGTTTTAGCTTCAACATCAGTCCTTCCAATGAACACCCAGGACTGATCTCCTTTAGGATGGACTGGTTAGATCTCCTTACAGTCCAAGGGACTCTCAAGAATCTTCTCCAACACCACAGTTCAAAAGCATCAATTCTTCTGCACTCAGCTTTCTTCACCGTCCGACTCTCACATCCATACATGACCACTGGAAAAACCATAGCCTTGACCAGATGGTCCTTTGTTGACAAAGTAATGTCTCTGCTTTTTAATATGCTGTCTAGGTTGGTCATAACCTTCCTTCCAAGGAGTAAGCATCTTTTAATTTCATGGCTGCAATCACCATCTGCAGTGATTCTGGAGCCCAGAAAAATAAAGTCAGCCACTGTTTCCCCATCTATTTGCCATGAAGTGATGGGACTGGATGCCATGATCTTAGTTTTCTGAATGTTGAGCTTTAAGCCAACTTTTTCACTCTCCTCTTTCACTTTCATCAAGAGGC